ACGCAGTCGATGGGACAGGTGCGGACGCACGGGAGGAGCTGTCCAGTTCTGAACCTGAAGAGGATGTCTTTTCCCCAGCTGTCACGGAAGGGAAATTTCCGAATTCAGAGGTGTTGAAAGACTTACCTCTCTTATTGTCTCACATTGATGTTTCCGAGCAGGCTGATATCATTAATTTGATACAGTCTATAGGTCACTGTTTGCAGACATTCCCACTCAGACTCGTGCGCTCAGCCATGATATTGATGTTAGTGATTCCAAGCCTATTAAACAACGTCTGAAGCGTTGGCGTTGGTCATGGCTTTGGAACACTTTGAAGTGTATGTAAGCTGTTCTAACAGATCTGTGGTTGTTTTTACAGACCACAACCCGTTAGTTTTTCTGGATCGCATGCGTAATAAAAACCGCCGTTTAATGAACTGGTCTCTACGGCTTCAGTCATTTAACATTGCTGTCAAACATGTTCGTGGTAAGGACAACGTAGTGGCCGACGCACTCTCATGACTTTAGTCCTAGGTTTCTTTTTCTCTGAATGGGTTGAGTTTTTTTTTCTGAGCTGTTAAATCACTCCACATTCAGAGTCTTTGGGTAGGGGTGTTATGTGCTTCAGGCACATTATAATTTTTTTTTTAATCTTTTTCTGATTGCTTTGTTTATAGACTTTAAACGAATGATCTTTTGTTAATATATTTTGGAGATGGGATAATTCTAATCTTTGATAATCAGTAGTGATTACGTTAATTGATGGCGCTGCTGGTCCACCTATAAATAGGCTGGGTTTCGACATGTTAGAGAGCCCGTTTTTTTTCCCACTCGCTTCCGCTTGCTCTGCCACCGCCGGTGTGCGTCTTGACGAAGTGCGCACATCTCCAGTTGCTGCAGGCCGCAGCTGACGTCTCCAGACTGTCATGAGGTAGTTCTGCTAGGACTTATTCGTTTGCTCGTTTGCTCGTTGCGATTTTGGCCTGGTGGGATCGGTCGTCCTGTTTTCGATCTTTCTTTTACATTTAGAGTTTTTTGCTCTAGTCCGGTACTAAGTAGGGGCTTCGACGGCCCTGTATAGGGTTGGCCCCCTGCTGTACCGTTTTGTTCTGTTTAATCGACTCACCAGGTCCAACTTTCATTTAATACTTTGGGGGTTTGTTCTTTTTAGGGACACGGGTAATTGAGGGTGAAAAAAGAGAAAAAAGAGAGAGTTATCTCTTTTTTCTCTTCACAGAGAATCAAAATCAGGTGAACCAACCCAAAGGATCAGGAGAGTTTAAAAATAAATTATTTCTTTGAACCCTCAATTTTTGTCTCGTGTCCTCAAATATGTTGTGTCTTGGTGGACGTAGTAATTATGTATATATATAATATATATTATATATATATATTATGTATATATATAATATAGATTATGTATATATTATATATATATATATATATATATATATATATTATATATATGTTATATATTATATATATAATTTTCTTGTAATTTTCAAATAATGTTTTTTATGATTGTCTACCGTTGTACTGATAAATATCTCCTGTAGGGTAAACTATATCTTGGCTGCAAGTATCAAGCTACGAAATATTTCGTTTTCTACAACTGATAGTGGTTGGTCATTAATTATGATGAAGTTTAGCAACTTCTCGGTAAACATTCGAGCTCCGGGGCTTCAGCGGTCTGTTATTCTCATTCAGTCCAGAGAAGGCAGTCTGATTTCCGTCAGCCGTGCTCAGTCTGTCCCTCCGACGACACGGACAGACTGAGCGTGGCTGACCGAAATCAGACTGCCTTTTCTGGACTGAACAAAAATAACAGACTGCCGAAGCCCCGGAGCTCGAATGTCCATCATAAAACTAACTTTACCGCGGTTTAATGTGGTGCTATGGCCCTGCAGACATTGCCTGTTGCTGTCTTGTTTTGTGGTGTTTCTAGTGTAAAATACTTCCACACAGCGGACATGTTTCGATGAAAAGTTTGTTAGCTGTTAGCCACAGTGCTGCTCACTCAGTCCTCACGTGCTGGCTGCAAACTATGAACTGGATTTCCTGAATGTGAGGCGGGTCTTATTACTCGAGATTCATGAGACACACCTCCGTTCAGGAAATCCATTCCATAGTTTGAAGCCATCTTGCATCATGGATCGGAAATATCGGCAGGTTGGATCAAAAAATCCGATACGTAAATTATGCTGGTATCGGAGGCCGATACCGATACTGGATCGGATCGGCCCCATCCCTTATCTGAATGTATGCTTTCTGACTTAAATACCAGCATCACACAGTTCCAACCATATAGATCTCCAATGTGAATGTCATGTTGTAAAGCGACGTAGCCTTACCAATAGTTGTGCAATACAGTGTTACCCTGGCAAAGTGAAAGCAAACTCTTGGTCCATAAAGCCGCTGCATAATGAGACAAACAGTCCTTGTAACCCTCAGAGAGTCCTTAGAACAGTTGAGTCTGAAAACACTAATGACTGAGTCCAACACAGATGGGCCTCGTCACCTTCATGTAGCACCAGTTGCTATCAGTGATTGTTGATGCTGTTTTTCAGAGGCCAGACACCTGCTGAATCTGACTTCCAAATCTTGGAAATCGCCCGTAAACTGGAAATGTACGGTGTCCGCTTCCACCCAGCAGCCGATCGCGAGGGCACCAAAATCAACCTGGCTGTGGCTCACATGGGGCTTCAGGTTTTTCAGGTAATCACTGCTTCAATATCAGCTCTGAATAACACACGGCTATTTAACAATGTTGCTAACAGCTATAATTATTTTTTATCATTTTTCCCGCAGGGAATCACAAAAATAAACACCTTTAACTGGTCCAAGATTTGCAAACTGAGCTTCAAGAGGAAACGATTCCTGATCAAACTCCACACAGAGGTTCATGTAAGTTTTCATCCAAACTTCTAGTTTTCTCCTCATACTTGACTGTAGTATTGTAGTACTCGAGACCGGTCTTGGTCTTGAGACTGGTCTCAAGACCACTTTCTGATGGTCTTGTCTCGGACTCGACTGCATTTGGTCTAGGTTTTAAATTGATCTTGGACATTGAGGACTCGGGATTTTATTTCAAGACCAGTCAAGACCGCATCTGTGGAAGCATCATTAAATTGCCAGAATATTGTCCAGTTTATTTGTCAACATCCTTGTTTTTATTGGATGCAAAACGTACTGATTCAAATCCAAGAGATAACGTGAGTCATTGCTAAATACATGTTTTTGTTACCGCTGTCACGCCCACCCCCTTTCAGTCGCATGCGGTTCTATACCAACAGAACAATACAGACAACAGAACGCAACATGGCAACCAGGGATGAAAGTAAGCCGGTACGGTCCGGTACTAAAATAGTCTGTGACGGTACGCAGTACCTGGAAGAGAGGGGAGCGTCTGTCTGTTGTAAAGTCGTCATTTAGAACCAGTCACGGCTGCAGGTTAGAATAGATTAGCTAACAATAAGCAGTCTAAAACACGACTTAATCAGTTAATAAATTGCTTTTTTTCCTCATTTCAAATTATTTCTGAACTGTTCGTGCTATGCTGGAGTCTCAGTTCTCCACCGCGGTGAAGTTAGTTGTTGGACGTTGGACATTCGAGCTCCATGGCTTCAGCGGTGTGTTCCTCTCATTCAGTCAGAAGCAGGCAGTCTGATTTCAGTCAGCTGCGTTCAGTCTGCCCCTCCTCTGAGACACAATGGTTCACTTAGGAACCATCAACAAATTACC